CAGGAAGCCTGCTTCTCCCTCTCCCACTCCCCCTGCTTGTGTTCCGTCTCTCGCTGTGTCTCTCTCTGTCAAATAAAATCTTTAAAACAAATAAATAAATAAAATGGTATTTGGTGTGGCTATTCCAAATATTTTTAATTAATAACAGATAAAGATGATACTTTGAGCCAGATAAGGTAGGGAGAGGTGAAAGAGACTGTCTCTTTTTAATACTTATATACAGAACTCAACCTACCTGATCAGGAGATGTTTTAGTAATAATTCTAAATTAGAATGGAAGTATTTTAGTCAATTGACAGTATTCTTGACATTCACATAAGGCTGTATAAGTTTTTGATTTCCAAAATGTAGCTATATTTCTATCTTTATGTTTGAGACCAAGTATTTTTAGTTGAGTAAAATAAAACAGTTTACATTTCAGAAAAAACTTTTGCCTCTCTACTGGCTATGTGGCCCATTTTGGTTGAGATGAACAAGTAGGTAAGTATGACCTAAAGATTTTGATTTCTCCGATTTCTTTTTTATAGATTCAGAAAGTTTGTAACAAGAAACTATGGGAAAGATACACTCACAGGAGAAAAGAAGTTTCTGAAGAAAACCACAACCATGCAAATGAAAGAATGCTATTTCATGGTAAGAGTCCTCTTCCCCGAGATGCCTGGCTGGCTCAGTAGGGAGAACATGCAACTCTTCATCTCAGGGTTGTGAGTTCAAACCTTACTTTAAAAAAAAAAAAAAAAAAAAGATTCTTCTTCCCCTACCCTACCACCATCCTCTTCTACATTAGTTTTTTTTGGCACATAGGAAATAATGAGTCTGTTTTTCTCATGCCATTTTTAAAAAGTAAATATTATTTCTGTAAATATTACATTTATATTTGTATTTCCAATCTCTTTTGAGTTTGTATATTTTATAATGGATTTAAAAATAGGATTGCCATAAGGACAAAATGTAGAAATGGAAATGTTAACTATTCATATTTTCCTATTCTCTTTATATCGATGCTGCATATTATGATCACTCTTGAGAAATGGTGTATTTTACTTTTAACTAGTTGATTGAATTAAAATTAAAGTAAGGTCTGAGGGGCGCCAGGGTGGCTCAGTCAGTTAAGCATCTGACTCTTGATTTTGGCTCAGGTCATGATCTCAGGAGGTCGAGCCCCGAGCTGGGCTCTGTCTGCTCTGAGTGTGAAGTCTGCTTAAGATTCTCTCTTTCCCTCTCCCTCCTGTCTGCCCACCTCACACAAGCTCGCTCGCTCTCTCTCATTCTCTCTCTCAAAAAAATAAAAATAAAATGAAATAAGGTCTGCAAATCGCCTCAGAAGACCGTATACATCCTATTCTGCCTTTGATTCTAAGTGTCAAAACTACATTTAACTTCATTGTGTTAAAAGAGCCATTGTCAGTTAGGGGTGCCTGGCTAGCTCAGTCGATAGAGCATGCCACTCTTAATCTTGGTTTCCTGAGTTCAAGCCCCATTTTAGGGATGGAAATTACTTAAAAAAATAAAATAAAATATTTTTTAAAAAGCCATTGTCATTGAACTTAGAGAATTTTCTGAGAACTTCTGTAGAATTGAGAGCACCTTTATTCTTGAAATTTCTTGGGTTTTTTTTATGTTGCAAACTAACAGATGTTGATTGGTCTTTCTTTTTTTTTTTTCTCTAAGCAGCATGGAGCCCAATGTGGGGCCTGAACCCACAACCCTGAGACCAACACCTGAGCTGAGATGAAAGGTCAGACGTCCAACTTACTGAGCCACATAGGCGCCCCTGGTCTTTCAAATTTATAGCAAAGATGAATATAGATAGTAATATAGTGTTTATCAAGTCTTCAAGCACATAGTAGCTCCCATCTGTTTTTTCATTTGGCCTTAATTGCAGAAAATTTTTTAGAGACCTATAAAGTTCTATAAAACACAGCATTTAAATTTCACAATCCCCTGGAAGAATGGCTATAGCGAACTGAATTGGTGCATAATATCTAAATAGCATTTCTCATTCTGAAACCCTAAAAATCATTATGATAATGACTTGGCACAGAGTATAATATTTATTTATGTACTGACTTGATGATTATAATGAATGATTTTTCTATTTTATAGTATAAATGATTTTGGTTTTTCCAAATTAATTCAAATAAGTGATTCTATTCTTCAGTGTATCTGTAAAGTGGAATTTAGCATATTTTCCTGTCCCTTTATGAACGGGGACCTAATCTTGATGAATCAGTTAACTGTTATATTGGCTTTTCCCAACGCCCACCCCTCACCCTACTCTCCGGCCTGGTTCCCATGGCTACCTCCTTCCCTTTGGCTAAGCTCTCCTTGGCACACATGCAAGGAAGGGGGAGAAAGTAGTCAGTATGCAGAGAATGAAGGAACATACCACATATGCAGATAGAGTCTGGTATAACAGGATGAAAGGCAGAGAGGTGGAAGGATGGGAGAGAAGAGGTATAAAGAAGAGAATGAACAGGGGCGCCTGGGTGGTACAGTCAGTTAAGCATCTAACTCTGGTGTTTGGCTCAGGTCATGATATCAGGGTCGTGAGATCGAGCCCCAGGTAGGGCTCCACGCAGAGTCTGCTTTACACTCTCTCTCTTGACCCTGCCCCTCCCGCACCCCCCACACACACACATACACATGCATGCGTGCTCATGCTCGCTTGCTCTCTCTCTCCCTGTCAAATAAATAAATCTTTAAAAAAAAAAAAATGAACATGAGAAGACCACTTTGGGGATGCCTGGGTGGCTCAGTTGGTTAATCTCCCCCTTTGGCTCAGGTCATTGTCCCAGGGTCCTGGGATCAAGTCCCACATTGGGCTCCCTGCTCAGCAGGGAGCCTGCTTCTCCCTCTCCCTTTGGAGCTCCCCCTGTTTGTGCTCATGCTCTCTCTCTGTCAAATAAATAAATAAAATCTAAAAAAAAAACAAAGACCACTTTGGCCACTTTTGATACACAGATATGAGTGTCAGTGTAAGATGTAATTGCGTGCAGCCTTGCTGTATGAGGTGAATTGTAAAACTCTTGGTTCTGGATTTGTATGGATTTGGGGTCTGGAATTTGATAACTTTAGCATTGGTATTTCAAGTAATCTTTTTTCTAGTTGAATCTATGTGTGTCTTTTTTTTTTTTTTTTGACAACTCATCCACCACCTTATTAGAAACATCAATCGATATTAGCAATTCTTCTAAAGTAGTTATTTATTCTAAAGGCATAAACTAGCTGACAGTTAACTTGTTATCCTTGTTTTCTTATATTCTTTATTGTGGTGTTCATGTATATATGTTTAAGAATTTAACTCCAAAGAGGATTTCATTTTATTCTTCTTCTAAGATAATTTTAAATTGTTACCCATCTACATGTATTTTAGGATCTCCCTTTGTAAATGCAATTATCCATAAAGGCTTCGATGAAAGGCACGCCTACATAGGTGGCATGTTTGGAGCTGGGATTTATTTTGCTGAAAACTCTTCCAAAAGCAATCAGTATGTCTATGGAATTGGAGGAGGTACTGGGTGTCCAGTTCACAAAGACAGATCTTGTTACGTTTGCCACAGGTAAGAGATGTACTTGTTCTCATTTTTTTTTTTCTTTAAATTCAGTTAACATATGATGTATTATTTGTTTCAGGGGTACAGGTCTGTGATTCATCAGTCTTATATAATACCCAGTGCTCATTACAACACATACCCTCCCCAGTGTCCATCACCCAGTTACCCCATCCCTCCACCCCCGCTCCCCACCAGCAATCCTCAGTTTATTTCCTGTGATTAAGAGTCTCTTACGGTTTGTCTCCTTGTCTGGTTTCATCTTGTTTCTTTTTTTCCTCTCTTCCCCTATGATCCTCAGTCTTATTTCTTAAATTCTCATTTATTTTGATAAGAATTTGATAAGAACTTGTTTCATATTTGAGAAATTTGGGGAGAAGGGCATCATCTTCGACAACTTTAGGTATCCAAGCCAGGCATGTTTCAGGTTGCTTTTGGCCCTCTCACCAGTTGTAACGATAGCTAGTATTTATTAAATGATCTGTATAGGACAAGCATAGTTCTGAGAACTTGACCTATTTAATCATTGGAACACCTAGTGTTTTAAAGAATATGGAGTAGAAAATACCTTTGGACTTGAGAGATTTTATTGTGTCCCTTAAATATTATAGGACTGTAGTTTTTTTTAAATATAGTATTCAGGGGACCCGTGGATGGCTCAATTAAGCGTCTGACTCTTGATTTTGGCTCAAGTCATGATCTCAGGGTTGTGAGATCAAGCCCCATGTCAGGCTCCATTGCTGGGTTAGAGCTGCATAAGATTCTCTCCCTCTCCCTCTGCCCCTCCCATCCCCCCTATTTAAAGTTTATGGGGGGGTTTTTTGGTTTTTTGTTGGTTGTTTTGTTTTTTTAATTTGAGAGAGAGTGAGAGCGAGAGAGATCGCATAGGGAGAGAGAGAAGCAGACCTGCGGCCTATCAGGGAGCCCTGTGTGGGGCTCGATCCCAGGACTCTGAACCAAAGGCAGATGCTTAACCAACCAAGCCACCCGGGCATCCCCCCCGCCCCTCCTATTTAAAAAATATATATATATATGTATGTATATATAGTATTCATATATATACATATATAGTACTCATATATATATTATTCAAATGCTAAAATGGCATTACTTGCCAAGCCTAATTATTTCATAGAAATGCATGAAGGAGTGAGGGAGTCTCTCTTCCACTGAGATAGGATCCTAATCCTCTATTTATGATATTACTACTTGAAAAGTTACGTGAAACATATCAATCCCTTTTATTTATTTTTTTTTCAAAGATTTTATTTATTTATTTGAGAGAGAGAGAATGAGAGACAGAGAGCATGAGAAGGAGGAGGGTCAGAGGGAGAAGCAGACTCCCTGCCAAGC